TCAGTCAGTAAAGTCTCCAACTTCAGCTCAGGTCATGATCTCACGGTTTGTGTGTTCGAGCCCCGCATTGGGCTCTGTGCTGACAGCTCAGAGCCGGGAGCCTGTTTCAGATTCTGTGTCTCCCTCTGTCTGTTCCTCCCCCACTCATGCTCTGTCTCTCTCCCTCTCAAAAATAAATAAACATTTTTTTAAAAAAAACAATGAAAACCCACCAAAAATAACCTAACTACCTAATGATCGAGGAATGATTACATTAGTAATAATCCATCAAATCAATGGAAAATTAGGCAGATCATAAAAATATCTGTAAAGAATGGTAAAGGTGATATAACATTGAGCAAGAAAAGCAGGAAACAAAACTGTATACAATCCCACTTTAAATTTTTTTTAAAAATATTTTTATTTATTTCTAGAAGAGAGAGAGACAGCGTGAACAGGGGAGGGTCAGAGAGAGAGGGAGACACAGAATCCGAAGTAGGCTCCAGGCTCTGAGCTGGCAGTCAGCACAGAGCCCGACGCGGGGCTCGAACCCACGAACCGCGAGATCATGACCTAAGCGAAAGTCGGACGCTTAACCGACTAAGCCACCCAGGCGTCCCCCACTTTAAATTTTTTTAACATTTATTTTTTTTTTTTGAAAGAGAGAAACAGAGCATGAGTTGGGGAGGGGCAGAGAGAGGGAGGGAGATACAGAATCCGAAGCAGGTTCCAGGCTCTGAGCTGTCAACAAAGAGCCCAACATGGGGCTCAAGCTCTCGAACTGCGAGATCATGACCTGAGCGGAAGTCAGACTCTTAACTGACTGAGCCACCCAGGTGCCCCTGTGATCCCACTTTATTGGAGAAAAATATACATGTATAGAAAGGGAACAAGAAGGAAATAGTCTCTTATTTTTTGTGGTGGTTACAACTGGATGGTAGGATACAGGTGAGATCTCTTCTACTTTATGCTTTTATTCATTTTCCAGATTGAACATACATTACTTTTACATTTGGAAATAAACTTTTGTCAAATGTCAAAAGTGTAAGTTGCTACATCAGCATCCAGAAAGCTCCAATTAAGTCTTCTCTCTCTCTCAGTCAGGCTATTCCTCTCATTTCAAAAGAGGGAAGGTATTGCCACACTATTAAGCAACCAGCCAGTAGGCTTCATTCAAGAGTAATAAACTGACCTCTCAGGAGAAAATTAGTGAAGCTCAGGAAATTAGAGCTAGAAACCCCTACTGAGTGGTCTAATGCATCCCTCAAGAATCAGCACCATATACATTACACTTTCGGGTGTGGGCACTTTCTTTTCCATTTAATTGTAAATATTTCAAGTGGTTGCAATTTCACTGCTACATTTTAGACAAGTCAACAGCTTTTAAACCATCTCTCCTGAGTGGAATATAATAACTTGAGCAAACTTCAGCCTGGAACTGCTAGCTGAAAAAGTATCTTAGACCTTGTTCAAATTCTGGCACTTCCACTTAGCTGTAAGACCTTACACAAGTCCCTTTCCCCATCTTGTCATAGATTCCCTCATTTGTACCTCAACAGTGGTGCCTTAGGAACCAAATGAGATGATGCATCTAGGGAATGCATTGAGGGCAGACAGTAGGTACTCAGTAAATGTTTGGTGATTCTGCATTGTCAGATGAGTGTTGAACAGGTGTCTCCCTGGCAGAGAAGGTGGGCCATGCTGATCTTCTTTTGTATTTCCCTGGATGACACAAGTGGGTTGGAGTGAACAATATAGTTCATGACCCTGAATCAGCAAAATTCCACTGGGTACCCAAACATTGGGCTTAGCCATACCAACTAAATTCACCAGCTTCAGACCACAAATACAGCTCAGACAGCACCCCCTGAGCCTTTGCACTGTTGATAAGAGCTGCAATTGTAACACTGGCCTTGGGGAAGGAGAAGAGAGGACTGAAGAGTGTGTTTACAGCGGAATCAGTAGGGTTCGGTGAATCATTTATGTAGAGGCTGAAGGAGACTGAAGGAAAAACAAGAGTTCCCAAACTGGATGACTAAACACACAGTTTATGGATCCAGTGAAGATCTACAAAGCACCTACTAAGGGCCAGGAACTGTTCTAAGTACAGGGGACACCATAGTGAATGGGGCAGGGGGCAGAAATCTCTGCTCTTGTGAGTTTATCTTTTCATGGGGAAGACGGACAATAAATGGTAAACAAATAAACAAGACAGTTTCTGGTTGTGATAACTATGATGAAGGCAATGAACAGGGTAATAGAATGGAATATAAGAGGGCCATATTTTAGGTCAGGGAAGGACTCTCTCAGGAGGTAACACATGAGGTGATGCATCCTGAAAGGTGAGAAGGACTCACAAGGTAGAGAGGAGGGGAAGCATTCCAGGAAGAAGGAGCAGCAGGTGCAAGTCCTTGAGGTGGGGAAAAGCTAGGTGTATTTGAGAATAGAGCGAAAAACAGTGTTGTTAACTGAAGCACAGTGAGAGTAGAGAATTGGTACGACAGATGGTTGGAGAAGTGGACAGGACTTAGCTAAGGACCAAGCCTTGAGAATCAAGTTCTTAGAAGGAAGATGTACTTTTGACATGCTGAGTTTGAAGTTCTAGAGGGGATCTCCAAACTAATGAAAGATCCAGGACTTCATCCTAAGAACTAGAAACATTCAAGAAAATGCTCAGTTGTGTCAAAATCACTGGGGAATGTTCTAAAAATACAGATTTCTCAGGCATTAAAAATACAGACTTCTGGGGTATCACCCACGGAAATTCTAATTCAAGTAGGTCTTGGTGAAGATCGGGAAATTTAAAAAATTAAAAATTAAAAAAAAAGATCAGGACATCATTTTTGCTGTACCCACCAGTAATTCTTTTTTTCTTTTTTTAATTTTTTAATGTTTTATTTATTTCTAGGAGAGAGAGAGAGACCGCGTGAGCAGGGGAGGGTCAGAGAGAGAGGGAGTCACAGACTGAAACAGGCTCCAGGCTCTGAGCTGGCAGTAGGCACAGAGCCCGATGCGGGCTCGAACCCACCAACCGCGAGATCATGACCTGAGCGAAAGTCAGACGCTTAACCGACTAAGCCACCCGGGCGCCCCTACTCACCAGTAATTCTGATCCATTCATTCAAGCAATGTTCCTTGTATTCCTACTATATGTCAGGAAAATTCTAAGTGCTAGAGCTACAGCTCAGAACAAGTTACAAAGCATACAGGATAGAGAAAGAGCCAATGGTGAACACATTAACAAATAAAGTACAATAATGATACATGTCACAAAAAAGCTAGTAAAATGTAGAGTAGTATTTATTGTAGGGACCTACACTAAATAAATCTAAAGTGAAGATCTCTCTCTGCAGAAGCAACTTTGAGCTGATAGCTGGGAAATAAGAAGCACCGCCCATGTGGCTGTCTAAGGGAACAGCATTCTAGGTAGAGGGAACAGTCAAAGCAAAGACTTGGTTGAGAACTTGACCAGATCTAATTCTTTGGTTTATTCTCATTTGATTAACCAACCAAAATGGAGGAGAAGGCATGGTGGAGGAGGCACTATTTCATCTTGTATGTGCTCACCTAGCAAGCTGTATAAAGCACATACTTAGTTCCAGGCACTGTGCCAAGTGGTGATACGAAGATGACCAAGAGGGTCCCCTCTCTCGGAGAGTCTGCAGTCCAGTGAGGAAGGCAGATAATGAAGTCAGTATGGCCCCATGAGAAGTGGAAGCATCCCAGATAATCAGTTCATGTTCTGAGAAAGCCAAGCAGATGATTAATACTTTTGATGTATTATGACGTATTTTGATGTATTATGACGTGAGCAACTATTTTTGAAACCATGCATAATAAAGTTACTTGCATTTCTCTGTGGCCGACCAGCTCAGAATATCTGGATTTTTGGTGAAATATGTGTACCAATGGGTATTGGGTCTGAGATACTGCTGAAAGACTATATCTTGGAGAAATAGTTTCCTAATAATAACTAACATGTATGGAGCACTTAGATTCACCTGGTTGGACATGCAATTTTATAGTGTTCACAAAGTCCCTTTGAGGGTCCCTATTACCCACTTTTTTCAGATGAAGGAACTGGAGCCCAGCGAGGTGAAAGGACTTCCCTGAGGTCATTCAACTCAAATGTGACAATTTCCCATCTCTGTCTGGATTTGGAGCCTCAGTTCTGGCCCATATTTCTTCCCATGAATTGCTTACATAGTGACGCAATTTCTATCTTCATCCTGGTTCCCAAAGTAGACCCCTCTCTCTTCTCCCCATCCCAGTTACCCACCTGGGTTGTCTACACGAGGAGAGGGTTCCTTGTTTGCACAACTGGGAAAAAGTGGGCACTGCCCACTGCCTATCTATACTACTTGCAGTCTCCAGGGGCCCCCTGCAGTGCCTGAAGGGTTGAGCCCAAAGCTTAGTACCTTGCGTCCTGCCCACCTGTTGGGGAAGAGAAATTAATGGGGCTCAGTGTTCAGGGTGTGAGTACCAGAAGGGATTGGGTCAGCAAATTGTTAGTCAAGAGGAAGTAGAAACTCTGTGGCTACCTGGGTAAGGCTGAGTTGCCTTGCGTTACACTTAATGTATTCAAACTCAGTGGCTCGAAGAGATGAGCTGGTCATCTTCAGCCCGAAGGCGGGCCAGTTTGCACCTTAAAGGGCCTTGGCTCCCCTTCCCAGTGCCTCCTGCTATTCTGGACTCAGAGTGTGTCTGTGCGTCTGTCTGATGGTCTCTGCGTGTGTCCTTCAAGAAGTGCCTTTCCCCTGTGTCTCAGGCCGCCGGCTCCCTCTCCTCCCCACCACCTCCCCTCACCCCCTTGCTCCCTCCCTCCCTCTTGTGCGGAGGCTCTTGGCCAAGGTCCCTCAGCCCGGGCGGGTGCAAGCGGAGGACGCCGGAGAAGTGAGGTCACGTCTCCCTTGAGCCCCACGCCGCTGGCTTTTCAGAGCCGCGCGGTGAGCCGGCGGCCAGAGTCCCAGCCCACGCCGACCGTGCGCTCCGCCGCCCTCCCTGTGTCGCCGGCCTCGCCCATGTCTCAGTACGACCCCAGCTCGGACTTCAAGAGGGCTTTGGACAGCGGTGCCGAGGCCAACACCGAGGATGACAAGACCGAGGAGGACGTGCCCATGCCCAAGAACTACCTGTGGCTCGCCATCGTCTCGTGTTTTTGCCCCGCGTACCCCATCAACATCGTGGCTTTCGTCTTCTCCATCATGGTGAGTGACTTAGGACCCGGAGCAACCAGGGAGGAGAGGCCTGGGCGGCGTCGCGCCGGTACTGGGGACCCACCGCGCTCTCCACCGCTCCCTTACGCGCACCCCGGGTTTTCCGCCCTCTGCGCCTCCTCTATCTCACGCTCTCAGAACTCCGCCACCAACCACTAGCGCCTCCTCTGCGCTCCCTGGGGCGCTCAGAGCCCTGACCCAGCCTCTCCCAGGCCGGCTTTCCACGTTCTTCCAGCGCCCACGGTGCACTCTCTCCAACACGGGGGCTTCTTTCCCTGTCTCCTTTGACAACGCTGGGGACTGATGCGGCGCTTCTCACCCTGCTTTTCTGGAACCTCAAAGTGCGCCCGCCGCGGCCCCACTCTGAGCGCACGGGTTCTACCGCCCGCTCCCTGCCGCGCTCGGGGCTCCCCCTCTCCAGCGCGTGGCAGTCTTTATGGGGATACAGTCTTGATGGGGATCCCCGAGCGATTTCCGACGCCCTCTCCTTGACCCAGGTCCCATGCTTTCTTAAGCACCCCCTATCCAGGACAACAGTTCCTTCCTGTTTCTTCCTACGCCAGCTCCTCTCCTTGGCACCCCCCCTGGCCTCCTCTCTCCAGCGGCCTGCACTGTCTCCAGGCCTTTCTTGAGTGCCCCCTGTGCCCTTCTGACCTGCGACAGGCGCCATCGCCTCTCTTTTACTCTTTCTGCCCCATAATTTGCGGCGCGCGGACCCTATCTACGCCTCTTCGCGTCCCCCAAGGGCTCCCTGGCGCCCCTCCGCCGCGCTGTCCCGGGGCGCCCCTGGGAACGCGCTGGGGACTGCCCGCGCCCCGTGCGCGTCCTCCTCCCGATCCGCCCGCACCTCTCGAATACACGCTGCTGGTGTTCTGCCCTCCCAGAGCTCGGCTCCGCGGCCCCCTTCAGCCCCGGGAGGAACCCACCAGGAGGGCGGCGAGCGTCCCGGAGGCCGTCGCCTTATTGACTGGAGCAGCTGGCCCAGGGGTGGCGGCGGCGGGGTGAGGTTCCCACCGGCACTGTCCCGGGGCAACCGTGGCAGCGAACTCCCTCCCCCGCGGGTCCTCCTCGCCTGCAGCTAGGCGCCCAACTCCGCAGCCACAGACCGAGAGAGTGGGACTCATCCCAGGAAAGATCGAGGGCCATCGCCCCCTTCCCCCATGCAAGTCCGGCCACACTTGTCCACGGGTGGCGCCGTATTCGCTTGGTGGGGACACATGAGGATTTCATTTGCACGCGCAACCTGCTCTTTCCCAAACCCGGTTTGTCCGCTGTCTGCACCAACATCCTAGAGCGCCTCCGCTGAAGTTCCGATGCCTGGGTTCAAATACTAGTTCCGCCCACAACCTAAGCTGTAAGATCTCCGGAAATCATTGCATCTCTCTTAACTTCCGTCTTCTTTGTTTGTAAAATGGGAATAATCATAGCCATATAGCCATAATTTCTTGACGTTGCTGTATTAATGAGATGATTATAAAACGCTTGGAACAAGCGTCAGCATGACGTTAATATTAGATCTTTACTCGGATGTCACCGTTTAAAATCAAAATCCCCACAAGCTCTACTCCCCTTTCCTGGCTGTTTTCTGCCCAAACCTCTTCTCTTCCATCTGATACGTTATTTTACTTATTACTGTGCTTACTGTCTGTGCCCCCCTTGTTAGAGTATAAGCCCTATGAGGGTAGGAGTATTTGTCAGTGTCCTTTGTTGCTGTATCTTCAGCACCCAGAAGAGAATCTTGCAGGTGCCAGAATGAAATGAATGCATGTGTGAATGAATGAATGAATGAATGAATGGTGTTAATGGATCCTGCTGCCTTCTGCCCCATACTGGAGCCAGGAAAACTGTGGTATCAGGTTCCTTAGGACCAGCCAGCCAGTTTCCTCTCTTCCTTCCTCACCAGAGATATCCGGTCTTGGGTTTTCTGCAGGTGAAGTTGGAGAGGATGCTGCAGCCAAATCCTCCAGGCAGCAGCAGACACTCTGGCTGGAACTGGTGCCCACACTCCATCCTGATTTATTAATGAATCCTCAGACAGTTCACCCCTTTCCCAGTGCCAATTATAAAACTGCCTGCAAAGGCTTTTTCCTTCATTGATCCGAGATGAGCTAACACTCCAGCTGGTGGTGACAGGTTGGACACTAATGATGCCACTCGGTGTGTCCCGGGGGATAAGATTGGTACATGCTTTGAATGGAAACCTCTTTTCCTGACCCCCCTTGCCCAATCCTCTCTCTCAAGATGTTTCCGATAGTTTTATAGCAAGACACCATCTAATGCCAGAAACCAGACACTGGAGTTGGGAAAGTTGACTATGGGCAAACTTCATACCTTCTTAAAGCCTTGGTTTCTTCATCTAGAAAAATGGGAATCTGAGGTGCACTTGGATGGCCCAATCGTTTAAATATCTAACTTTCGCTCAGGTCTCACGGTTCATGAGTTGGAGCCCCGCGTCAGGCTCTGTACTGACAGCTCAGAGCCTGGAGCCTGCTTCAGATTCTGTGTCTCCCTCTCTCTCTGCCCCTCCCCTGCTCTTACTCTGTGTGTGTGTGCCTCTCTCTCTCTCAAAAATAAACATTTAGGGGCGCCTGGGTGGCTTAGTCGGTTAAGCGTCCGACTTTCGCTTAGGTCATGTACTCGTGGTTCGTGGGTTCGAGCCCCGCGTCGGGCTCTGTGCTGGCTGCCAGCTCAGAGCCTGGAGTCTGTTTCAGTCTACGACTCCCTCTCTCTCTGACCCTCCCCTGCTACGCTCTCTCTCTCTCTCTCTCTCTCCTAGAAATAAATAAAACATTTAAAAAAAAATAAAAAAATAAAATAAAATAAAATAAACATTTAAAAATTTTTATAAAAAAAGAAAGAAAATGGGAGTTTGAAAAGCGTTTTAACTGGAGCAAAACTGTTATAACGCCGGAACAAGAGAAAGCATGTTGAACTCCCAGTATTGTGCTAGGTATGTGCAATAATTTTCAGACAGATGGATAGACCTGGAGCCTGGAAACAACATATGTCACACATGAAACCAAATAGAACATCAAATAAATGAAACCCAAATTCTAAAAAGAGCTTCCCGCACCCTCCCCACCGCACTCCCTCTAAGGTGCTTTCCCATTGAAACCGTGTGGATATGGGCGCAACACATTTCATGATAAAGACTCCAAAGCCCAAAGAATAAAGAGGAAGAGGAAGGGTGTGCAGGACGGAAGTGGACACCAACTCTGCCAGTGGTGTGTTTTCCCTAGGGTGTCTTGTGGGGTTCCATCTGACTATTTTCAAGTCTGACTGATCCATAGTTTGTGGTAAAGTCAGGCGCACTGTTGCTGGGAGTGATGCCATTCCCCATGGAAGCATTAAAAAACGCTTCCAGGGCAGGGGCACCTGGGTGGCTCAGTCGGTTAAGCGTCTGACATCGGCCCAGGTCATGATCTCATGGTTTGTAGGTTCGAGCCCCACATCAGGCTCTGCGCTGACAGCAAGCTCAGAGCTTGGAGCCTGTTTCAGATTCTGTATCTCCCTCTCTCTCTGACCCTCCCCTCCTCACGCTGTCTCTCTCGCTCTCTCTCAGAAATAAGTAAAACATTAAAAAAAAATTTTTTTTTTAATGCTGGGGAACATCTGTGGTATCACAGTGATTGGGGCACTACTGGCTATAGTGGAAAGAGCTAAGAGTAGCAACGTTCTGCAACACTCGAGTCTGTTGCCCAGTGAAGAACTGACCGACCCCAAATATCAACAACACTCTAATCAAGAAACATAGTAAAGGTAATGCAAAGTCATATGAACATGAATGTAAGGAAAATATTGATAAGCCTCAAAATAACTAGTTCCCAGAACTGTAGGAAGAACTAGTGATCTCAAAACATTCGAGATTCTTTATGTATTAAACCGAGCCTGAGAAGCCTTCTCTAAATTACCCAGGCGGAGTAGATGTTGGGGGATAATAAAACTATTTTGAAAAATATACATTTGAGAAGAAGGTGCTTCAAGCTATGTGTGGGCATCTGTGATTTTCCCACCACCCCATGTGGAGGTAGGGAAGTCCTGAGAGTTGCAAGGCAGTCAGTGCCCTACAGGTGAGAATCGTACAACATGGCTTGTTGTATTGGAACTCTGATGAGTCAAAGCATTGCCAGGGGCAGAGACACAGACATCTTGGCTTCTCTGTGTTGAAAGTGCACTTAACTTGTACTCAATTTCAAGGACACATACCTCAAGAACTTCTCCCCAACCTGGGCCACTTCTAGCCCAAATGGCATGTTCATAGCAATTTGAAAATGGCACCCCTTCTCCATACAGATGGAGCCCTGCACCAGGGCATATGGCTTGGAAAGTGGAGCACAGGCTGGCTTTCAAGCCTCATTCCCCATGCTGCCATTCATCCCTGGTTATCTTTGTTTATTCCATCCAGAAGGAACTCTATAACTTCCATATGGCTTCTGACTCTGGAGAAAGAATGTCTGTTTATGTGACAAATATTTATTTGCATCTAATAAGCATCTATTATGTGCCATGCTCGATTCCCGATGTCAATATACTCTTTTACCTCTATCAAGTGGTAAATAAGATCAGCAACATTTCTGTGCTCTTAGATGTAGAAGAAGAAAGGTTCCAAGCTAATTGCAGGAGTGTTGGCAATTTTAGGTTGAGTTCACCGTCTGTTGTCTGTGTTGCTGGAATTTGCTACCTGGCTGAAGAGATTGGAGTTGAATCCATGCTGAGCCTCCATTCTTGATGAGGACATTCTATAGTCATTTGCACAGCTGAACCAATCTGGTCACTCTAAGTGTGAACATGAAAGAGCCAACAACATTTGACTGGGGGACTTATAACCCACTTTCAACAGAGCTTTTCCCTCGCACTTATAGAACTTGTCTAGATACCAACCACTGAGGTTCAAATCTTTTTCTGCCATTTGGTACATTTGAGATCTCATACCACTGACTCAGTCCTTCTGAGGCTTAGTTTTCCAACGCTGTAAAATGGCAGTTGTAATA